AATAAATAAATAAATAAATAAATAAATAAATAAATAAATAAATAAATAAATAAATAAATAAATAAATAAATAAATTTGTATAATTAACACTTGATTTTATCTCCCATGCCCCCCTTTTCTTTTCTTTTCCTTTCTTTTTCATTTTTGGTAGGAAGATGTCTCTCAGAAAACACATTTGACCAAAGAGTATATGAATTGAAATTGAATTATACAGTACATGGATTTTTTTAAAAAAAATGTTTAAAATTCTGCATTTGGAACTTCTGCATTTTTGAATTTAACTTTCCAAAGCAGCTATTTTTAATTTAATTAAAAGTATTTTTAGTCTGTTGGAGAAGTCCTATGCATTATATATATTAATATTATTCTGCACCATTTCTCATCATAGCACAAATCTATGCTTTTCTGTTCAGATGCATTTCCATTGACTTTGGCAGAATGGGAGATGCTGCCTTATAGCAAAACAAATTGTTTGCTCACTTAGCCTAATACCCTTCACTTACTGGCAGTAGTTCTTCAGAATCTCAGGAAGGAGTCTGTCACCTAGTTTGGTACCAGAACATTTTAAAAGCATAATGCCAGGAATGCAAGACCTTCTGCACACAGAGCATGTCTTGTACCAATGAGCAGACACTGGAAATGTCACTGTTTTGAAATACAGCTTCTGAAAGCGCCAGCCCCTGGCCACGCTGGCTGAGGAACATAGGGAACTAAAAGTAATGTTTACAAGCTTTGGCCTGGCACATACACATAGAACTGCCTTAATCTCAGCAGAACAAGGTATGCCTCACCGAAATGTGCTTCCGATGATATGCACACTTTATCAGCAGATTTCGAGCAATGAAAAGCACACACCCATGTCTAAAATCTACCTCTAATAAAAGAATTCATTGATGAGAACTGAAGTTACCTACATCAATTAACAACCAAACAGAAATCTGAAGGTAAATAAATATTCAGACCTGTAATTGCTGATGTCATAACAGTAGCACAAGACCTGTTGCAGATAATCAGAGTTAGCACAAAAGTAGTATATAGTGGTGGTACAAGTGATTGGATGGCCAGTTCAAATCAACAACATTTGGTTGTGCACTCCATTCTGTAGCTGCTTGCATAATATTTGTGTAACTGTGCAATCCAGTGCCACCCTGCTAGTAAGGATTATTTTGCTAGTGTTACGTCAGATTGAAGCCTGAGATTTCTAGACAGAACTTCCTGGAGGGTCACAGCCATGCTAATCTATTTTAGCAAAAGAGAAATGTGGCAGTATGACAATTTCAATGGTGACATTGCTCTTATTTCCCTCCCCATCACGGTATGTGGTCCACAATCTGTCAACGTCTTATTCAGTTGAAGAAACTCCATTTTAATGTCTGTTCTTGCTGGGCAAGAAACTATCCAGCATTTCCCCACACAAGGAAAATAACAGCAGTCAATGACAACTACAAATTCTGTGTTCAAGTACCTTTGGTGTCAGAGGTGGAGAAAAAAACTACCGCTTTCCATTTTAACTATTGGGGCACAGGTTCAAAAATCATCAGGAAGCTATGAGTTTGGATTGTTTTGACTGTGCTTGCGAAAGTGCAAGATGCCAACAGCCTTTCCCAAGGGAAATGTGGGATGGGAGGGGTGCTGGAAAGGTATGAACTCTTGTTTGGTCCTGTGTGGCCGAGGCTGTTCAGCTGCCTTGGTCTGAAATTGCTAGATGCTCCCCAGCTGCCTTCCTCCTAAATCTGGAGCTGAAGTGGTGCTCACTGTGGTTATTTCTTTTTTTAATATTCTCTCAGTCTCCCAGTGCAAGACCCAACATGGCTCACAGCATTAACTAAAAACACAGTAAGTCATTTTAATATTATATTTTAAAATATAAGGAAGTAGGTTCTCATATTGTAATCTGTACAGAATTAAAATAATTTAAACATTGTCTAAAAGGGAAAAAATAGTGAAAGCAAAAAAAGAATAAAGGAAAAATTACAAAGTCTATGCTTGAAAGATATGGAACATGAAAAAGAGAGTGTTCTACTTGGCTCAAAAATTGGTCCTTTGACTTAAATTAATTAGCACACACATGGAGTCACACACAAAAAGTATCCATCCTTGTCCTTAAAGAGGTGCAATATATTTGCAAAAGCTGTCTGTCTTACAAACCATAACCCTCATGTCCTAATTCTATTAAGAATGCAACATTTTAGGATGGGATAGACTGGTGCTGTAACAGACAACAGCACGTTTACATCATCCTTTATGGTTCAAATCCCGTACCTCCATTTACTAGGAACCAACTATGGATTGTTGTTGGCCACAAGGGGCAGTAAGCAATATTGCTGTGAACCATTTCCAGTGCTTCTTACTTGGAATCAGATAAAGGTAAAGTAAAGGGAAACTAATTTTTATAACAACATCAACAAAATCACTACTATATCTTCTAAATGTAATTTATTCTGTAAATAAGGTCCTATGCCACCACCTGCTATTAAGCTGTTAGAAGAGGTATTCTTTTGAGTCCTTTTAAGGAGAAAGACAGGGTAAAAGTATTTTAAATAAATAATATCCTTTACTTAACAAAAGTAGCAGTAGTGTAGGCTGATAGAAGTAAAGGGAGCAATACATTTAGTCCACTATTCCCATTTTCTCATAAATATGGAGCAGTTGTTGCTTAACAATTCAGCCAATTTTTGTGATAATAAAAGGGCTATCAGTTTAGATTTTGTATGAAACAAAAAGCAGAGACTTTTCACCAAAGCTCAGACAGAGAGTATCAATTCTTGTGGGTGTGCAGAAGACCTAACAGCTAGATCTGAATTTTGACCCCTGCTGTATTGTCCTCAACATCAAGTAGGAGCTTAGAAAAATCAGAACAAGAACAAATGATTCATTTTATTTATTTATGATATTTCTGTACCACCTGACATAGTGAAAGCCACTACTCTAGGCAGTTTAAGCAAGAAACATAACAATATAAAATATTAATCCCACCAACCCAGACCCCACACAAGTAGAGAAAAAAACATAACCATTTTTTAAAGGCAGACCATATGGCAACATGTAATATAGCATATAAACCACGAGGGTGAATAAATCTCAAGGGATCATGTTGGTAAAAGCCTCTCTATACAGCTCTACCTTCATCAGGTTCCTGAAAGTCCTGAAAGACAACCCTCTCAGAGAACATAAATACAGTACAGTGGTGCCTCGCATAGCGAGGTTAATCCGTTCCGGATTAACCTTTGCTATGCTGAAGCATCGTTGAACGGGGCAGGGATTTCCATTGGAACGCATTAAACATGGTTTAATGCGTTCCAAATGGGCCAAATACTCACCGTTCAGCGAAGCTTCTTAATGGCCGGCAGCCATTTTCGCGCCCTCGCCTCGCTTAACGAGGGTGCGAAAACACTGTGCGTGGCCATTTTGGGCCATTTCCGGGCTTCCGGCGGCCATTTTGGCCGCCAAACAGCTGATCGTCGGGCTTCGTTTTGCGAAGATCGGTAAGCGAAACGCTTACCGGTCTTCGCAAAGCAAATTTAGCCCTATTTAAAAGACGTTAAGCGATCGCATTAGCGATCCGAAAAAATGGATCGCTATGCGATTTCGTCGTTATGCGGTGCGCTCGTTAAGCGAGGC